GGGCGGCGGGGATCTCGGCAGAGGGGCGTCTCTCAGCGCCGCTGCTCTCTCGCCCCAGCCGCCCATCCAGGTGTACGGGCTGGAGGGCCGCTATGCCACGGCACTGTACTCGGCCGCTTCCAAGCAGAAGAAGCTGGAGCAGGTGGAGAAGGAGCTGAGCCGCGTGCGGGTAAGGCCCAGCTCCTGGCGCGGTTTGAGGGTTCACCAGGGGCTTCGCATTAGGGCTCTTAAATATCTCTGTGCACGCACCCCCCTTTCACTCAGCTTGGTTTGCCTGCTGTCTGAGCCTGCCGTTCCATCTTGTGACAGGCCTTTATGCTTCCACTGCTCCCCCTCAGCTTGTTAAGCTGTTTAGCAGTGGTGCAGCATCAGCCATGAAAGCAGCATATAGTAAGTATATGAAGCTGTTGTTTCTTGGCTTGCTTCAGATCTCTCCTTATTCCTGCCCATCTAGTGATCTCATTGCCCACCTGGCATAGTCCAGGTTAGCCTTGCAGTGCCTGGAAGAATGACTTTCATCTGTTGTCCGTGTGTCCTCTTAGACTCTTATGAAGGATCCCAAGCTGTCTGGTGTTGTTATGAACCCTCACACCAAGAGTGCAGTAAAACAAAAAGCTGTAAACGATGTTTTAGCAAAAGAGAAGATGTCCCCTATAACGGTCAACCTGATGAGTAAGTAAGCTCGTGAATATTGAAAAACATCTAAAGTTCATGGTTATTACCAGTAGCTCTCCAAACCTGCTTCTTGCGGGCGCTTTAAAGCCTCTCAGACCATCCTCCTTTTCCAGACTTGCTGGCTGAGAACGGGCGCTTGCGCTACACGCCAGACATCGTGTCTGCCTTTGGGAAGATCATGAGCGCGTACCGAGGCGAGGTGCTCTGCACCGTCACCACGGCCCAGGTGAGCCGCAGGGACCCGCGTCGAGCTCGGCTTCGGCGGTGCCATAGCCGGCCAACGTCTTCAGTTTGAGTTTTCATCTCTGCCATGATGAGCGTCTCTGTGTGGTGGGCGCTTGGTGTCCAGCAGTTATCAGTCGGATTTGCCATCAGGATCCTGCTTGGGTTCAGGTTGGAGTTAATGGTCGAGCTGACAGCTCAAGCAGGGCGGCCGTGTGGCTGCACCGGAGCTCCTGCTGCCTGACTCTGCTCCTTGTGGAGAGGATCCCGAGTGCTGTAAGCGGGATATGTGTCTGACTCTGAAACCCCGTAGCCTTCAGAAGGGCTATAGCGAACTGCCCACCTGGGGCAAGCGATGCTCTCTGTAGCCCACAGGCACAGTCTAGTTGATGGCCTTCAGGGATGCGTGGAAAGATTTTCATAGGTTCATGACTTTGCAAGTTTTCCCAAATGTTTTGTATGCGAAGGTACTTTTCTGTTACTACTTCTTAGCTCTCAAACTGTTGGCTATTACATAGTCTTAATAAATAAAACTAGGTAAATGAGTTTAAACTAAGGCAAAACAAAAGGTTTTTTGCTCTGCGAGGTGTTTCTTATTCTGAGTCCAGGTCATAGTAATATCTGAGCAATTTCTAGGGCCAGCAAAGATAGATTCACAGTGGCCCGCTCTCAGGGATGTAGAATTCCCCGTGCCCAGGGGCTTCTCACAAGCTGGAAGCAAGCTGGAAACGTGTAGCAGAGCTGGGAACTGTGGGCCTGTTTCCTGGATCACTCTCCAGCACTTGAGGTGAAACTATTTTTTGTACACGTTAGGAGCAGCAAAACTACTCCCAACTTCTTCCTAGAGGCTGTGAGGCGGCTCTCTGGGCTCCTTCGCAGAAGTGAGGAGTCTGCCGTGTGCTTGCTTAAGATGTAAGCGTGAAACTGGTGCTGGGAGTATACATAGAAAATGGCAGAGTGTTGAAATGAAGTGAAAGCAGCACAAAGTGACTCTGTTTCTGTAGTGTCCCTTTGTCTAGGAAGGCTGCTTACTCTGCCTTCCGGGAAATGTCTTTTTTTAGTGTTGCTTTTTCTTTGCAGCTTAATCGAAAGGTAACAGGAATCAGTATTATATACATTTTGTTAAATGTATATAATTTGTCTTTTGTTCGAATTTTTCAGCCCCTGGATGATGCCAGTCTTACTGAGCTAAAAAGTGCTTTGAGTGGATTCTTGGCTAAAGGAGAGGTCTTAAAGCTGGAGACCAAGGTATGGGTTTCTGGAGATTTCCTCAAGTTAATGCTAAATGGACTTTGGTCTCTCTGTTCTTTTTTTAAGATTCGTTATATAAAATTTGTTTTTTTAGTAGCTGGATTCAGTAAAATCAATATGGGGAATATTGTATATATTTCTGTGCTTTCTTGATACTGAAGTTATTAAAATAGTTGGAATATAATGACTGAAAAATTGTATGAAATGTGTGTTTTAAAAGCTTTTTCTTCACTAGTATGAACATTAATACTAGGATTATGAATTTTTGCTTTAGATTTTTAAAATTTCTGCTCAATATTTTTTTTTCTCAGACGGATCCCTCAATCCTTGGTGGAATGATTGTCAATATTGGGGAGAAGTACGTGGATATGTCAACAAAGTCAAAGATCCAGAAACTCACCAAAATCATGAGAGAGACTGTCTAGCAAGCCGTCCTGTGCGTTCACAATGAAACCTGTCACATAAATCTAATAAAATTACTGCTTCTCGAGTAGACTGCTCAAAATATTTTGATGATTTAGGAACATAATACTGAGAAGGAGAGGTAGAGAAGCTGTGGTGAGTTTTGCTTAGTCCTCCTTGACCATTTTGTGTCGCAGTTGAAAATTCAGCCTGCCACAAGTGTGAGTGAGGATTGCTCTGAAGGATGGGGAGAAGGTTTCTCCAAGAGCTGCTGCATGCGATCACCCCACCAAGGGGTTGCTGTTGGTTTCCAGAGAAGACTTCCACGTAGGGCATGGGCAGGACAACAGTTCAGGAGTTGTGTTGTTGCACATGTTGCTTCTAAGTGTGTAAGGAATGAGGCGAGGGGAGCAGTGGGGCTCCTGAAGCAGCAGGATTCGTGTTCGGGCAGGGTCTGGGAGCCTGGACAAAGGGGCTCTGCACGGTTAGACCTCGCTGCCCCCTCCTGTCACCTCTCCACTGCAGTGACCGAGCTTCACTGGCTGCTGCGGGACAAAACTGGGTCTGCAGCCCTGTCCCTTTGTGCCACCCAGCCTGAAAAAGCAGAGGAAAAAGCATCCCCCCGGCACAGAAGTTGTTTGGTTTGGGGCTAAATAAGCTAAATATTAACAAAAAGGAAGGAGAGAGCAAAGCGGGGTCGCCCTTGAGTACCTGTCAGCAGAGCTGCTGGCCGCCTCCGAAGGGTTGAATCAACACTACAGAGGATGCGTCTGCTCGTGAGCAGGGCCCGTGTGATTTAACATCGCGCATGTAGCAGCGAGACCCTCCTACTCAGCAATTGTTATTTTTTTTTCTTTCTTGACTCACCATGGCAATTTTTGTTTTCCTATCCAAAAATGCGAACACTGTGGTACAGAGATTAAAAAGTGGCACATGTCAGGTATTATAATAAAATAAATTACTAAATTTATTTCCCTATTGCTGGGGCTGGCTATTGCTTTGCTTATGTCAGAGCGCTCTAAGTCCTTTTGTCAAAAATATTAATGTGAAGATGTATTCAGTGTGTCTGACACCACAATGCCACTCTTACTCAAGGCTTCTCAAGAACATAAGAATGCACATTTGAACTTTTTTAAAAAACAGGGTTTATTCTTGCATAATTTCACTTGCACAACTACAGTCTGATCTGTGTCAAACATTACACAGAATAAAATCTTATTTTCAGTACCAACCTTGGTGAATGCAGTCTGGGAAGTGGGCATAGCTCCTTGAATAGCTGAATACGTTTTGAGGACTTTCATTCAGTTTGACATTGGTAAATAGAATCACTTAACCGAGTGGGGCAGAGGAAACAACACATTCAAAGCAACGAAAGCACAGTTGAAATTGTCTTAAGAGAAACAGTGATGTCTGATTCACAATTCTTTGTAATACCTATTACAAATGTTTTTTTAAAAAAGAAAAAAAGTCACAGTATAGATGTATTCCCGCAGAATAGTGAGATATGATCTAAATTAACAATACAAGTAAATTCTCTAATAAAAAAGAAAATGATCTTTTTCTCCTGTCTGACCCAATCTTAAGACAAATACGGGTAACAGGTATTTTGTAATGCCTCTGTGATTTTTAGGATCTTAAGAATACTACATACAGTACAATACTTCCTTTCATTAGAAAAAAAGGAAACTAGCTGATACCATTTGTTTGGCAATAAAAAGTGCACTAAAAAGTAACACCACCACCATTGGGGGGATAATTCCCCAATTCTAAGTATTAACATTGAAAAAATACTACAGCTATATTTTTTTTTTCTTCTCAAAGATTTACTGACACTAAGTAAAAAGTTCCCATTATAAAGTCTGCAAGGGCTTATTGGAGCCTAAATCCCTTCCTCATTCCGTGGGGACCTGGAATAGGGTGTCCTGCAAAGGCCGTTAGCTGGGACGCGGCCGCCGCGTTACGAGCTGGGGTCAGAGGGACACCACCGTGATGCTGCGTCTCACCCTCCCACCTCCAGAATCCAGGATTCAATCTCGGATTGAGACCAAAGGCATCTTTTTTACAAGGGGCAAATGGGACCCAGCCGCCAGGTTTGGGCAGCTCGACCTGCAGGACACCAAACTCACGTTTCTTCCCCTTTCCTCTCCCCCATTCATGCACCCAAATCTTCCAGTTTAATTTGCACTCACTGCAACATCCAGCAGCTGCTGTCTGCTCTAAGGTCACAGACCAAGAAACCGTTTCATTTACTTCCATAGCATTTTAAGATCCCTGAATGAAATGCTAAGTGCAGGGTCAGCAACATTTTGCAGCTCTAGGAGTTGCACAAGGAAGTCACCTATGACATAGCAGGACCTTCTCAGACAGCAACATGAAGCGACTAGGCTAGTTAGTTTAACATTGTCCTACTGCAATTTTGAATTCATTTAAGTTAGGTCCTAAATATATCCTCATATATGCAGAAAAATAATTTCCCAAGGACGGACCCTATTTTAAAATATTTAAATGACTAAACAAAATTGTGGGCCTATATTATTATTTCTGTTAGATTTACTCAGTATTTGACAACAACAACATAGCTGTGTTTTTATATCATATATACAAATAATCATATATATAATCTCTCTATATAAGTTTGTATTTACCTATAGATACACCGATATGCATGTAGGACAGAGCGTGTTTGGGCAAAACAAACCCCGGGCTATATGTGGAATGTACGTATAGAGAAGGGCCCTCGAAAGCTAGTTGAGTTAACCGGACTCGCAGCTTTTCTGTGTTTCAAGGGTTTTGACTGCTGGATTTGAGTGAATTTGAAATCCCCCGTGGCAAGCAGAGCAGTATGAAAGCAGACACCACCACTGCAGCAAAGGCTTGGACTTGTGACACTTTGAAAAACGACCTACTTACTTAATAATATTACAAAAAAACCGGACTTGTGACACTTTGAAAAACGACGTACTTACTTACTTACTTAATAATATTACAAAAAAACTTCATTATCCACAATGTCCCCCCCCCAACCCTACTCACGTGTAACAAAAAGTGATTTTTTTTTTAAGGGTTAAAAAAAATGCAAAATGAACATTTAAAAAGTTCCCTCATAAAAACTCATATTGAGAAAATACATAATAATCAAGAGCATCTAGAAAAAACATCCTGCAACTTCTCACTCCTTTGGCTTAGTGGCAGCTCAGTGCCCAGCTGTGGCCTTCAAGGTGCCCAGGTCAAAGCAGCAGCTGCACGTGCCCTCTCCGAGCGTCACGACCTGGCTTCCTACCAGCGCGAAACTTGGCAAGATACCTGGTATGTCTGAGGCCAAGGTCAACAGCCTGTTTTATATTTTAAAGTGTTTCCTCAAGGGCTGCAAGGGTAAGGGTATGCATTAGGCTTTGTGCAGTTAGCCCAGCTCCAGAGAGCTCAGTGGCTCCGACCCAAAGACCAGTCACTTTGGGGAAAGCGAGGAGGAAAGCAGACCCAGCTGCAAAGAAAATAATGAACTACTTGTCCATTTGAGCTCAAGTTTTAACTTTTTGTTTGATATTCTGCTTGTACCTGGCTTGATCTTCCCATCGTTAAAAGAGGTCAAACCAACATCACCGTGCAGGCACCCAATGACCGAAGCCACCCAGCTTCCAAACGCAGGCGTGCGGCCTGTCCACAGCGTTAACTGCTGCCTGCAGGGAGGCACCTGCTTGCTCCTGAGGCAGAGCCTCAAGACCAGGCCGGTTCTTACGCAGCTCGGGAAGAGCCTTCCCAGGGTCCCCAGTGCTGGCGGGCACGGCTGAAGGGACAGAGAGGCGCCTCGCCGATGGGTTGTGACACTGCTGGCAAAGCAGCTCCTCTGACTAGCAGAAAACACATGGATGAACGAGGGGGAAACACGGTTCTCCCTGCTAAAATTAATATATACATAGGCAAAGAAGTGCAGCGTGGAAAAAGGACATGTGCCTGTGTTAGCTCCTGGAGGTCCAGAGGAGCTGTGTGGACCACACCAGGAAAGCAAAGAGCCTGACGGCAACATGTACACGTCCTTGAGATCCTGGGCAGCACCTGGCAGCACCACAGCGCCGAGCACCACAGGGGCACTCCTCAGAAGGGAATCCTTGGGGAAGGGAGCGTGAGGGCTGCTAAAGCCCACCTGCCACAAAGAAGGGCACACAAATCTGTGCGTAGATACCGAGCTGCGTTAAATCCCATGTGCCTTTGACTGTGATGCCTTCCTGGGTGAGAACAAACACATGGTTCACTATTAATCAGGCTGCTTATGGATTCTCTTGGTCCTGGGTAACTGAAGTTCTGCTGGGATACTGTGGCTCTGATTCTAAAATAATCTTTTTTTTTTTTTTCCCTTTTTCTTAGATATCCTATCCTGTCCGCAACCACAAGAGCATTGGCATTCTGCCTGTCCCCAACTACCTCCATCTTCAAACAGTCATTTTAATCATTTCTAAAAAAAAATGTTGTTTCTTGCCCATTAACTTGATTCTGCTACAAGACTTAGACTCAAGGAAACATCAGACAGAAATATCCTTCTCCTTGTTAAAATTAATATACGTAGTGGGAGAACGCAATTCCCAGAATTATAGCTTGGAAAACAAGCTACAAGATTTTGCCTCTTCTTTTCCTGGTTTCTCAAAAGCAATCTCACTGTTTCAATGAAGGTAGCAAATGCATCAAAAAGTCACAAAAATATTTTTGGAAAGGCTTGAATGCCAGCCAAGGAGTGTGATGCTGAAGAATTTGTTATCCAGTGCTTATCCAAATGGATTGCTAATGGCTCTTTCAAACCAAAACATGGTCAAGTATTACCCAGACTTTGAGTTTTGATGTTGTCGCTTGGCAGAGCGTTGGGAGAAGTCTACATGTATCAGGATGGGGCTGGAAAGGGCGCTGTGCTCTCAGAGGTGTGATTTTACTGGTATATTCAGAAATACATATAACCAAGAGTCTGAATTATAGGGTCTACACAAACACAGGCATTAAGACAGCAGGAGCACAGACTAGCACACCTGACAGCCTGAAGAGGACACTCAAAAGAGCCCAGCTCAACCTGGTGACACCCCCTGGCTTTGCGAATACACCAA